AATTACTGAGAAAAATAACGGAAATGTATATTAAAGTGCCGTGGGATAATATCAAATGGTTCAAACTACCACTTCATTCAAGCTACCATTTTACGTGCCCCACGCTAACAGCAAACTGTGATCTGAAAGAACGAAAGGCTCGGAAAAGCAGTTGAAGCCTTTAAAAAAGGTTTTTTTTTCTGGTAGGAATTATTATGCGAGGTATGAGGGGTACGAGGACAAAGCTTACATCAGCAATAAAGCACTCGTAACATTGTACAATATGCGGACAATCAGACATGCTAGTTCTCTTCTATCACCAAAAAAATAACCTTTTGCTTAGCAGCTTAAGATTTGTAATAAAATTGTACAAAGTAACAAATTGAGTAATTGACAGTCTTTTTTCAGAAAAAAAAGACTGCTTAAACTGCCAGTCTTTTTTCCAGAGCCATTTAGAAGAAAGACTGCAATAATTGTGATTTTTTAAAAAATTTTCGGAGAACCATTTTCGCGAAACCAATGAATCATCGAAGTGATGCAAACTTAACAACCATAATCGTTCCGATTTGTTCAAATCGGGCTTTGTACACAACATCACAAGTACCGGAACCAGCTTCCCTATTCTTCCCAGCGTGCAGGCATTGGGAATTTGTGGAATGAAAACGTTTCAATGCGAGTAAACCTCTTTATTTTTTGGAAGAGCCGAGGAAAAGTTTGCAAGAAGCTTTTATGTGAAAAGCTTATTTAGCACTCTTTTTTATATTTATGAGGTCTTTTATCTCTGCAGCCGTGCTTCCTAATTCACTGAGTAAAAAAAATAAACCATTTTTGGTCCGTTACAGGAGATTTTTCCATTATCAATAATCCTTATAACTGATGTAATCGACCATTTAATAAGCCTTTTGGTGATCAAAGACATTACTACAATTTTGTCTTCAGTGTATTCTGTATTCTTTTCGTTTCAATAGATGACAAATCTGAAATGTTAAGATAATCCGATCAAGCGCATGTCAATTAATATAGTGCTTTCAAACAAATTTGTCACAATATCAGTTACTATATACATTACACCTAGTCATATATGTATACTCATCGAACGAAAGTTCATTATTGCGGCGACAACGACTGTTAAGTAACACAAGATATGACACAACAATTGTATGTGATCGACTTCAATTTACTTTCTCAAACAAATACACTTTTTTTCACACAGAAGGGTTCTCCAGTATATTGCGTCACTCTTTCACTCAGTGAGCGTGTAATCTTTTCCGCGTTCATATAGGCAACTAAAGTTTATTACAGTGGGCATCAAGGGAAAACAAAGGGTCAACTAACTCACAATATAACTAAAGTTCAAAAAATTTTGAGCTGCAATTGCTGCTACTGTTGTTGGAACGTATTCTGTTTTACTGTCGTTTGTTTGGTGTAGGATGTTCTCTGAGATTTGGTGCGGAGTGCTTAGTCGTTTGAGGTAGCTGTTTTTGCGTGGGAGGGTGGTCATATTTCAGGTTGGTAGTAAATGTGTAAGTCCAGTTTGTGGGTCTTTCTCTGTCCTATCATTAGGTTTGTGCCAAGTAAATAGTCGAATTTATTTGAAGCTTGCAGTGAATATCTGAAAAGGCTGTAAGCCGGTGTAACGTTACCGATGGTTCGATGGTATTTTTTTTGTGTATTCATTATTTTAAGTGTATCATAACGGAGTGATTCTTACGAAATTGAGATTAATGATAAAGTTCACGAGGGTTTATGTTTATTAGTCGCTTTCTTGTTTTCAGCGATATTGTTGACTACATTACGCGATCATTGCTTGCGTTATCTTGGGTGGGGTGATGGGAATAAGAGAGTCATCTTTCTCGTTCTTAGACTGTTTTAATTGTAGCCAGTTTAGTTTTAGACGCATTATGGGTTTGATTGATAAACCTATTGTTATTGATGGAAAAGATCACCTTTTGGGACGGTTGGCGTCAGTTATCGCCAAACAGCTTCTCCTTGGTCAGAAAATTATCGTTGTGCGATGCGAAGATATTGCCATTTCTGGTAACTTCCATCGTTCCAAACTAAAGTTTATGAGCTTTCTGCGCAAGCGATGCAACGTTAAACCGGCGCGTGGTCCGTACCACTTTCGTGCACCAAGTCGTATATTCTGGCGAACTGTGCGTGGCATGTTGCCGCATAAAACACATCGCGGAAAAGCAGCACTGCTTCGTTTGAAGGCGTTTGATGGTATTCCACAACCCTATGATCGAGTTAAACGACAAGTTCATCCTGCAGCTTTGCGGCATTTAGCGCTGAAACCACGAAGAAAGTATTGCACAGGTGCATGTTCTCTGACAAATTTTTATTTTCGTTCGTTTAGTTAACGAAATATAATTTCTTTTAATTTACTTTCTCATGTGCTTCATTATAACTGGTGACTGGTAATTTTGAATGTATGCGAGCTTTGAAAATTTTCGGAAATGTGCTCGGGAGCAAGTTATTTACGTCGGACCGTATTTTAAATTAGTTAAATCAATTTTTATATTTGAGATTAGAAGTGTAAAAAAAAAGTGTACTTTATTGTTGCTATTCGGGTATTTTGCAAAACAACATCAGATGAACTGAGTAGAGAATTTGACCTACTGCTTGTCGAGTGCACAGCAGTGCTGTGCGTAATAAGCTGAACATTGTGAGCAAATTCGATTTTAAAGTTATATCAACGGTAATGCATTTTCAGTTGGACGTCTTGCGCATGAGGTGGGTTGGCAGTATCGTGATGTAGTTGCAAAGCTGGAAGCCAAAAGAAAAGTTAAAAGTGCGGCATTTTATGAGCATAAAAAAATGAAGTCGAAGCTATTTACCGAGGCACTGAAATCAGATATTGTTAAAAATTCACCTTATCAAAAGCTTATAGAATCTTATGGTTTCCAGTAAATTTATCTTTTGTTGTTAACGAAATAAAAATGTCTGATCCTTCGCTTTCTTTTTAAACACAGAAAGGTCATTATTACGAGAATATTTTACCATTGGCTGCAGACACTGGAGTTAATTTGCTTTTGGGGATATACAATGGATATAAAAATATTAAATTGAGAAAAGGTAAGGGACTCAATCTCGGTTTCGTGGTGCTCCCCAACGTATGGAAGTTTAACGGTCGAGCTTTTTGAACATGCTAGCGGAAATTAGCAGTTTGTTGGATGAAAAACACTACAATATCATTGTAATCGAATGTGAAGATCTGAGCTCACCTGCCTTCTTGCAATTGTGCATTGTTGATTGTGCGACAAGAAAAAACGTGAAAGTCATCTACGTATCAGCGATACGAAATATGCTAGCATTTAAGTTCGTTCACTTCTTCTTGATATCCAATGTTAGTTACGAGTTGACTAAATGAAATATTTTAAATTTTCGAGAATATATCCGTGAAAAGCATTCTTAATTCCATGTGCTGTTTTCAAATGCATCACTGAATTTAAATATTCTCAGTATTAAAAAGACTTATGACAACCGTGCAAATATTTTAGTGAGAAGGATCAATGTAGTACCTTAATCCTTTTTCATAATGATTTCACTACTGAAGAGTCGTCCGAGATAAGTAATCTATTGCTATGCCGGATGAAGACTTATGTCTGCGTAAAAGATAATAAGTTGTCACTTTTTAAGAGACAAACTCTATTCCTACATATTTTAATGGTGGGTATTTATTAGGACAATGGCGAGCAAAGTGATGATACGACAATCAGAAAAGCTAAGATTTTTATCAGTGAGCCAGTTGCTTCCTAATGGCTTTGTTAATGATAATGATGGCACATTTTTGACATGTATTTTGGAGGTATTATATTTTTTGACATTTCTGAAGTTGTCAACATCCATTGATATTGTTTTTATTTCAGAATTTTTTGGATGTTTTGCTGTAATCGACTTGAGGAAAGAATGATCTTTCTTACATTTGTTCATTTTTATAAAATTTTCGTTATAGGAAATCAATAAGCATATTGAAGAGGGTGATAAGGAGGTGTTTATCATGTTTGATAGTTTCACCGTATTCTGTGATTTCACTAACAACGTCTCACATATTCCTGCATTTATACGACATCTGCAACAATTCAATAAGAATTTAGAAATCAAATTGGTAAACTAAATTCTTTATTACTGTCAGCCCTGTACGAACTTCTGTGTCTCCGTGATCGTCATAAAAATGTGTGCCATCCATCCGTGTCACTTATATGCTTGACATCGGTTTAGTTCACACGCTGTCATTTTCAGGTGGTAACTTTCCAATCGAAAGATCAAATTTCGAATATTATCCTCCATGAAAGTGATGTTCTTATAAGGATAAAACGTATTGGAAATGGTTTTGCCAAAGATGTCACAGGGCAGGTAAATTCATGATATTAATTTGGTATCCGTTTACAGTACTATTTTCCGTAACTGGTTAACTGACACTCAGTCAACTTACACTGGTTGGAGGCAAAAATGACTCCATTAGTTCTTGCACAACTTGGGAGGATGTTCGGAAATATTAAATAACCTTCGTCTTGACTACAGTTTTGCAGCTGTATATAATGGAGCGCCGTGGTGAAACGCCTTATGCAGAAAATATTTTCAATTATCATTTGAGCGATCGATCCGCACGACTTTTTCTTCCCGGCATGTCAAGGCCGGAATTATGAACCCTGCTGCTTCGAAATGAAGCTTAAACTACACTGTTTTGTCTGATTATATGTGCATAGCAATAAAAAAGATAATACTGTTGAGTCTTGTTTACTGGCATCCAAAACAGGTACAATTAAAAAAAATAGGGAAAAATGAAATGAGAAACAAGTCGACAGCAAGATCCGACCATTATCCGAACAAAAAATATAACAACGTTGTCCTAATCACATGAATATAGGAGAATGCACTATAGTATGCACTATACTCAGAAGTGATTCAAATACATAATTATGTTTATGCTCGAAACAGCTTAATATCAGAGATCTCTTCATTAAGCTGCATATTTTATTAGAACACTGTGGTTTTACGAAGCTACAGTGTATTAAGATTCAACTTGAAGAAAACAAATGATAAATCGAAGGAGGAAGGTTTAGATCCAAACAGCGATGAAATAGCAACTGTTTGACATTTGGTATTTTTTACTTTACTTTGGTGTCTTTAGAACGCCAATGACAATAATAAAGTAAATAGTCCGATGACGTGACTAAAGTAGTATGAATCAGCCCATATAGAAAGTGTATGTCTCCAGGAATATCCGGTTTCTGCTGTGCTGTCATCAAATGCCATCCCCAGATACACCAAATGTGTTAGAGCTAGAGCTCGAAACACCATGTTAATAGCTAGCGTACTTAAAGCACTCTGAAACTACAACCTGAATGCACAAATGCATGCGTTTACTTGGTAGTAATATTTTGTAGTGCTTTTGGTTTCTGTTTTATTTATAAACTAAAAAAAATATGAGACTGCACTTCAAAGTAAAAAGTGATCTAAGACCTCCTTCCATGTATGATGACATTCTTTGCGACATTTCCTAGCACGAATGCATGAATCTATGCGACGACTCAATTTACTCCTTATTTCTGCAAATTAATTCCGTTAAATCTACATAGAAATCCGAATGGTTTTACAAAAAACCGAAAGTTTCAAAATCAAAAACAGTTTAAAAAAAACAACCTGTCTCAGCATATGTGTACAGTCCTAATGAGAGTAGCACGGCAGATAACTGGAAATTGATGCCCTGAAATCGAAGTTTTAATATGAGATTGCATTTCAAAGTAAAAAAATCTGTGGCAATTCAACTGATATTATGAATACATTTTCCCAAATGTCCTCCAAAATTTGAAAAGTTACAAAACTTACATGAAAAAGGGAACTAACGGCGTAGGTAATGAAAACTGCAGTTGCAGAGCCATACTTTTTAATCTCCCCAAAGATATCTATAATAGAGAACTACAGATTTCATTCAATTCAAAGGTTGAAAATTAACTTCAGAAAGATAAGACGGAAAAAGTCTTACTTACATTGATGCAAAAATCGGTGCATGGGTATATTCCATGAAACAACAACATCCACTAACGAACGAGGCAGTTCGATATGAATCCAATCAGTGACAACACCCGAATCAATACCGGACAGTAGCGAAGTGCCCGCAGAGAACCAGCTTATAAAATAATGACTAAATCGAAATGACTGCGCAACAAAGTACGCCCCAATGAAAGGCAATTCGACAAAATTATCAGCAATGCATGATGAATAAATAACAGCCAACAATGACAGGGCAATGTAGCTGAGAGCACGGAAAAAATTAATAATTTCTACCTGTAAACACTAGATTATTTTTATTTTCCAAGTTCTTAAACAGCATAAATTCTCAGGACTTTCAAATTTCTCTTTTTTTTTTTTAAATAAAGTGAGAAATAAATACCAAACTCACTTTGAATTCCTTTAGGTACAACGAATCTTGATACTGTTTGTAAGTAATCCATGGACCAAATAATACAGTTGAACTATCAAACATATAAGAGAGTAAGTGTAACAACGTGATGCTGCTACGAAATTCATTGGCAAGATCAAACGACAATGAAGTAATTTTCATTACCAAAATCATCAGTATACCACGCATTGACATAAATTCTTTGGCCGTGAAGAAATATTGCCTGTAGAATTACTCACAACCACTACGAATTATTAGTAAGTAAACAAAAACAAAAATGAAATTTCTATACATTTTGGACTTCAAAACATTTCCAAATGCCAAAGAAAACAAAATATTGCATTAAAATAATGGCAATTTTTTGTCTGAAATTTCCTTAATTTTGAGGAAAACTTTCCTTAATCTACAAATCATTACACACAAAAAAAAGAAAATGAAACTCACCAAACTAGAAGCATACCGACCGAATACGCCAACATTATAAACTTAGTCTGCTTGTTGAAGAGAAACTTATAATACGGTAACACAACAATCAGCGCGACATAAGCACAGATCGATGAAAAGAAATTATTTTGGGTTCCTATTATAAACAGTCCAGAAACTACGAAGGTTAAATGTAGCGCGAATTCACTTACTATTCCTGAAATAATTTTCAAACAGCTAGAAAGATGGAATAATAAAAGACATTAGGCTATTTAAGTGATGGTTTGAAAAAGGTCCGAACTAATAAAAGAGAATAAGTAGTGTCAAGAAACCCGGAAAAAACCAAAACGGAAATGAAAAAAAGAGAAATAATAAAAGTAATAGTAAATTAGTCTGATATTAATCACAAATTTGGACACAATTTTAATTTGTATGAAGATAATTAGATTAGATCTGAGGCGAATGTTTACCTTTTGCATGTAAAAATACGATAAATCGCTTCAAAGCAGAAAAGAGCAACAGTTTAACTATAGTAACATGCAAAGAATCAAGCACTCCTATCGAACACCGCAGCCACTGGTGAGTCGTATTCTCTTTAATATGCATAGAATCAGGAATTTCCTCATCAGATAACTCCAAAGCCTCATCGTAGAACCATCTTTCTTCGTCAAACATCGTTGAAACTATCATTCAATTGCAGCTTGATCTACAAAATAGTGTGGCTGTCATTTCAGAAATGAATTGGCTTAGGATCCATACTAAGAATGGGTTATCACAGTTATATTACAATCAGTTCAATTATGCAAATCGTGTAAGTGCGATATACATCGAGCAAAGCAGGATAACGATTTAGTAAATCATTACACAGTTATAGTGAATCGCTTGAAATTTAAACCGATCATATCATATTTAACAGATCAATTTAAATTTACAGCGAATCAGCTCAAAATTAGCCAGTTCAACCGAACCGTTTAAGGAGATAGGAATGGCTGGACGTGCAGCATGCTGTGCAGTCAACAATGTAAACAACAAGAAAATTGTTCATCCCAAAAGATCAAAGGATCAAATGACCCTTCCTGACTGCGCAATTATGGCTGGAAGCATCGGAGCGGTTCTTTTTATATTTTCTCATTTTCTATATCCAAATATCGCCTGCAATGTGATTTTAGGTTAAGTTCGAACGCATCAACTTGCTCACTGTGACATACATGATTTACAGCGATCGCTTCAATATTACATCGATATATGGGAAATTAGAAGTATGATACGGTGGCGCAGAGAACGGAATGGACTCCGGAAAGGTACCTTTGGATAGCAATCCGTACATCTTCACGTCGGGTGCCACCGACTAAGGAAAGAGTGTAGGATCATAGTTGTTTGGCTATTGACTGGCATCGAAGGGAGGGGTACGCTGTGTTCTAAGTGAAGTTGGATATTTTGTATTAGTGATCAGTTTGCAGAAGACCAATACAACGATGACAACAGGGACAGCAACGCCTAGCTGTTTAATAACAGCGGCAGATATTGCTTGCATAGATCCTCTTATTGGCAATGATCTCTGTCCTCTTCTTCGGGTATAATCAATTCTTTCCTTTTTTGAAGCCTTTCCGTTTCTTAGCTTTGATGAATGTCTTCTTTGTTTAACATATATGCTATTAGTTTATTATAATTTTCCAGCAGTTCGGCACAGCTATGAGCAAAGCCCGCTTCGATGATGCTCGAGGATTGATTGAATCGTTTCGAGGAACACGAGTTCCAATATCAGCAAGTGCTGAAGATTCTCTTTGCCACTTACTCCTTTCTGCTTGCATTCAGGTTGTTTCATTAACTTTTCATAATAGTCAAAGAAGTGGATGACTGTCGCACCTGAAAGTTTTTTATGTTTTAGATAGTAAAAGCGGAGAGCGCATATTATTCTTTGAATTTCATGGTACCGAAAGCCTTTTTTCGACGAGAAAGCACTCTGCTGCTAACTTATACACAGATCAAGTAACCTTTTCATCCTTCTCACTCTTCTCACACCTTTTCATTCTTTTCACATCTAACGTTCTTTTCTGCTCAGTTTGAACTTATTGAGCTGAATTTTTACATTATTGAAGAGTTTGAAGCTTAATGTGGTTGAATAAATGGTCCTATACCATTGTATAACAAAGTTGTGAGGGATTTTGCATCATATTTTGACTCTAACTGGTCGTAGTTTGGATTGGTTTAAATTAAACAATCCAGAAGAAATAATTATTGATACGTAGTTATGGGTTCGTAAGAATAGTCTAATTCGTTATAATTCAGAGCCGAGTTATGTCGAATGGATGGTGTCATGGGAAATACTAAGATTTCAGCTGCAGAGGATATTAGACGACGTTTGATTGACTTTACCAGTGCCAGAGTTTCAATGATCAATGTTTACAATTCATTTCTAGTTGAAAGTAATATCTTGTCGAACTCATTATTTTATTCTCTTGTCATAAGCGCATTATCAGTCTAACTTTTTTATGTACAATGCTAAGTTTTATATTATTCAGGAATTTCGACCTGTCATGAAAATCATTTAGATTTTGGTCTTCCAAGTGAACTTACAGCCTTGACGACAGTTCTTTCATCGGTTGAACATTTATTAACGCTTTTAGTTAACCATGATTCACTTACATCCTTGTTTACTTTTGTCGCTGACGAAATAGTGGTAATGAAACTACTTTTGGAGGTGCAACTAGCTCTCATACGATGTGAGGTTCTGTTTTTGTCGTTTCGCAAGATTCTTCTCAATTATTTATATTAAAACGAGATTTCAACACTATACAAGATTTATATATTTTTGTGAATAAGCATTTCTTTACGTAAATTTAGCAGTCTGGCTGCTTGGAACTATTAGTCAGTGTATTTCAGTTCTTGCAGTCATTGATTAAGTTGAAGAGCGCGTATGTTAAACTTCGGTCTTGGTTCAGTTCCGTTGGTTATAAACATACACTAACCAAAACAACAGTCAAGTTCTTCGGATTCGGTAATGACTTGTATTTTAAAACTGCATTTGTCAACTTTTTCGTCCAAATGTCTGCTTTAAAGTTGAAGAAATTGCTTGCCCGTACTGCTTTTTTGGAAGATTTTAACATTGCGATTTCAGGGCCTCAGGTTCAGTTTTCTCCCTTGAGACTATGTAGCTGGACTTACGAATTTTACATGCTGTTATTAGCGAAGTTCTCTCTATATTTTCATGATTCACTACAACCACAATGCTCAACAGGCGACTTTGATCATACAGTTAGTGCTATGAAATCACCGAATTTTGTTCAATTATTCGCCACATTTCGACGCAGAACGGAGCCATTATGTATCCTTTTAATTGCTAACCGTTGCAATGCTCCAGATATATCACCTCGTTTGTTTTACCGGCTATTAGTTGCTTATTTATTTTTCATCGCTTTGATCGGTTTTTTCCTCGCTTCTTCTGTTTTTATTTCTCTGTGAATAATAATTCTTGAAATAACCAATATTCGAAAATTTTGGGGAAAAAAAACTTGGATTTAATAAATCCTCATCATCCACCTTTTACCCTTTGTAGCTGCATCTGACACCTATTTTGTCTTCCTATTTAGAATATTTCAAACTTCTACGTAATTTGTTTGCTTAATTCCAGAACTACATTTTCAGTTATTGGTTATGACTGTGCTGCAGACCTCGACGATGGGGAAGGTGAATTGCGAAAAAAATTTTTAATTTTTTTCAAAGTAGGTGGTGAAGGGAAAGAAGTTAATGTACTACTTCCGTCGATTTCCATACTTATACAGGAAACTAGTGCTAAAAAGTCTGGAACAGATCGTATCACATACTGCTACGATCAACTTATGTCCAGGGTATGATTATTTCTTCTACTGAGTTTGCTGATGAATAGAAGCGGGAATTTGCATATGTTTCCCAAGTGCCAAAATATAATATTCAACAAAAAGAATAAAGTAAAACTTTAGCGAAAATTTTCCTGCAGTATTCTCAGTGAGCTCAGGCGGAATGAGTATGGTCTTATGTGGTTTTATCAGAACTTGATAAACTCAAATTCGTCAAAATATTTTTTAACTATTTACATCAGGCGGGATAAGTGTAGAATAACCTCATTAACATAATCTCATCAGTGAATGTATTGATGCGCTCTTAATATTACCACCCTCAGAGAAAGGCAAACATGGACAGCTTCCTAGAAAACTGTGAAAATACTTTTCAACTATTTGCATTTTCAAAGCCATTAATTTGCCAAGATTGCTTACGTTATGATACTTTCTTCATTCCAGAGTTTCTTCGTATTACCGGTGGAATATAATTTATACGTATCAATTATTTTTGATCGAAGGGTTAGCGAACGTGATAACACGGTGGTTAGCTTTCTGTTGAACAGTTGCAATCAGTTGCGATGCGCTAAAATCTGTCAAAGTTGGCGAAAATTCTCAACATAGCATATTTCACTGGTAAGTTTTGGTATTTTGTATCATTTCTATTGTTAATAAACTTGCAAAGCCTTTGCTACGTATATTTCATGCTTTTTATGACCTTATTTAGAGATTACATGACGAACAGACACTGCTCTACCCCCTGACGTACTTAAGCAAATATGGATGCTTCTCCGAGACACAATAGGACTATATCTCAGTTTTATTGTGGAATGGAACCGTTTTCATTTCTCTTTCTTCGAAGCAAAGATTAACCCGTAACTCTTGAAGATTGTCTTATTTTCAACCAGGAATTATTGCACGTTATTTAAAGCAAAGATAATTTTGTTGCGTCCAAGACGTGCATGTGTAAATAGAAGTATGTTTTAATGCTATATGATACCTTTCTTGTTTTGTAATAAGATTTACTTGCACATGCAACACTCCTGGATTTTTATATTTTGTAATGGCGAGTGCAACAGTTCAGGTGTATTACGACTGTCGTTATTGGGAGTTATGAGTTGATTGGCTGGTGCCTTGGCGCACATTTCGGGATATTATTTGCAAAAATAAAGCATGCATTCTCATTACTGACTTTTGATATGCGGTTTCTACTGATCGGTAATAGTTTTAAGAAATTCATGTGAATTTACAACATCAATAGCAACAATTTTGAGAAGTTAGAGGTTTTATGTCAGGTTGGCGATTTCGATTGTCCGATAGTAGAGATTTGTTGTGAGAGCACTGCCACTGGCACTGGCAACATCATATTCGTCACTGTTATTATTATATTCTATTCACATGCAACCAAAAATGGGTTTCTCTTTTATATCTGTTATATTATGAATAATCTATATAAATAAAAATGTAAATATTTGTTTGTTCAAAATCTCAAATCTCCCAAAGTTCTCCACCGATTGCTTTAAAATTTTGGCACAAAGTTGCATCCGAATATATACGTGTTTTTATATACCTCTGTTATATAGATGTCACACCTGTGACGGTAAAACTGTATATGGAAGATATACACATAGAGGGTATAAATAGCTAGAGAACCGCTCATCCCCAAATTACAAATTACACCTCTGCGTTTCAGTGGAAATGCCATCAAAACAGTGTTACTTTTACGTTTCAGTTCATTTCTGACCAGGAAAAATGAACTAGATGCGTAGTTAAACATGGGGTAGGTTTTGCTTCTGCAAGGCTCATTTGGATATCCTAGAGTAGATGGTGACATTTGCTTACAATGAGGATGTGACACAGCATCGTTCATTGTTCCTTTCATTCTATTTGATTTTATTCTTTTAAATACAATGTATTTCATTTTACTGTTATTCGAAAATAGATACTGTCAGAAGTTTCCTTGATTGAGTTGCTTTTCTTGAGTGAGCTGGAAAGCTCTCAAAGTGGTAAGGAACGGACGAGGAGGTCTGAATTACTTGGATGAAATTGAAATGTTGAGCCTCGGTATCTTAGTTCATCCAAACATATGTTTGAATATAAAGCACAATACCTTGAAGTCATGAAAAGAGTCCTTAAAAAGAGTTTCTGGGCTTTCAAACAGCAAATGCGGTGTGTCGTCGAAGGGCAACTCTGGCTTTGACCACTGACTCGTCTCTCGGTAATTAGTGACCTGTCGAGATTGATTGCCTGACCCAGCAATCCTGTTGTGCTCTGCGATCGCGAAAATTTGTTTTTATAAACTCTGTTCTTTATTGAAATTTGTAAGAATACGATCAATAGTGCAATTTGCCACACGATGCTTATTCGTTTCATTTCTTTGCTCTTTAACACATTAGGAAGTTCGTACGTTCCTCTCCATTTATATTCAACAGATCATCTCTTAAATGTGTTCTTAAGTGTTCTTTGGCCAAGGTACAAGATAAGATCTGTACCTGGCTGTACCTGGTTCAGTGGCCCAAAGATCCCGTCTGAAGCATCGCGAGAAGCAACTGACGTTATAAACAAATGCTTTTCAGATATTAGCTATGCATGAGTCCTACGGAAAGGATAAATCATCCAAAGAGAGTACCATTTCCTTCATTTTAACGCAGAACATACTATTAATATTTTCCCACAAAATTTAGAAATTTATGAATAGTGCAATAATTGCTTATACGCTAAATTTACTTTACTGACTGATTAATCACATTACATATATTTAGATTGGTCTCTTGGAAGGTTCCTTCCTTCTGTTAAGACCAATCTTCCACAGTTCTAAATTAATTAATAATCCAATAACTAAGAGAAGAATGCTCACGGCTTGGGCACTCGAAATCTTCACCTTATTTCCATTTGAGACAGAGCGTAATATCAAAGGAAAGGCAATAATGAACGGGACACTGCAATGGCAAGCTTTTGGTACTTCAGCAATCGCCGCCCTCTTCATTAAATATCACCTTTAGTCCCATTAATGCCACTGACAATAACGTTTCGCCCTTCATCGGTACCAAACAACGACAGCATGCCGCACAAAAGGACGTGACAAGCCGAGCGTCGTCTCCCACGGCTTTCATACAGCTGCAGTGTCACCTAAAGCAAAGGAGGGGGAGATGGGTGGAACTGGTATGGTGATGTCACCCGTGAATAGAGTAAATGGGCGTTGTCACCCGCACCTCATATTCGGGTAACGATAGTGTCTCCACAAAAGACATGACAGGCCTGTACAACCAACTTGTCACCACTTCCCCTACATCTTTCCCCAACACAGCCAATCCACTGCTTTCATTCTTCTCGCCTTCATCTTGGCCCTGTTCTTCATCGCTCTCTCTATGTATGTGTGTCTGCATCTCTCAACCTGCCCGTATTTCCATCATATTCGATCAATTCGTCGACATGTCATGATGGACTATCTCTGCAATTCTTCTATCCATCACACACAGACACGAACACACACACACACACACACACACACACACACACACACTGA